GCCCCGCTTCCGGCGCGCGTCGGCTGCGCCGTACTCGGGTTCCCTCCACGCGGGCCGTGGCCCTGTACGTCATAGGTGTGCGCGCGGCGCCCCGCGCTACGTGCTTTTCTGGGCGGGAACAGCAAAATGGCGACAGAGGTAGAGGCGCGCTGAGGACCCTGGCCCCCTTCGAAACCAGTCCCGCGGTCCCCGGGCCGCCCCGGCCCTCCCTGGACATGGAGGACGTGGAGGCGCGCTTCGCCCACCTCCTGCAGCCCATCCGCGACCTCACCAAGAACTGGGAGGTGGACGTGGCGGCCCAGCTGGGCGAATATCTGGAGGAGGTGAGGACGGCCCCGGGGGAGTGGCGTCGGGCGGGCGGGGCGCCGGGCCCAGCGCTGCTGGGCGGCTCCGCGGTCTCCTGGTCTGTGTACCGTCGGCGCTCGGCTGCGCTGGTCCTCGTGCTCGCTTCTCTTTTCCCAGCTCCATCGCTGCCTCCTGAAACCACCCCGTGTTAAACTAGCCCGGAGCGGTCATTGCAGGTCTCTACCCATTAGTGAGCTGTGAAATCGGTTTAGTGGGTGATGACCAGCATTTTTCCTTAATGCGATAGACGAGGATTTATGTGCATGTTTGAGTGTTTGAGAGATCTGGATCACGGTGCAAAAGGGATTTCTTTCTTTTTCTGAAATTTATTTTGCGATATAATGGAAATACAACATTGCGTCAGTTTCAGGAGTACAATGTAGTGATTCAACATTCATGTGCCTTACAAAGTGGTCACCACAGTAAGTGTGGTAACCACCTGTTACCATACAGAGTTGTTACAACGTAATTGACCAGAAGAATGTCTGTCTTGGATTTTCAAACCCGTTTTCAGGCTACTGCCATGTTTCAGCCCGTCTGCATCTCATCTTCTATATTTCACAGCTGTGTTTAGATCTTTAGGAGCCGTTCGCTGAATTCTGTACTTCACTTTCACTCCTCAGTCCATTTGGACTGCTACTGTGCTACTGTCTTGATCAGTAATAACCCTCATCCTGTCAATTCAGGGGACACTGGACATAGCATCTTATTCAACTCAGCAGCATTCGTTGGGTTGACCACTCCCTCCTTTTTGAAACAGGTTTTGGTATTCTGATTTTCTTCCCATTTCATCGCCTACTTTTTCTTTCGTATCCAATTTCTGCGTTGAGCTCCTCAGGGTGGGTCCTGGGCCATCTTGCACATTTCCCCTCAACAGTCATTTATATCCAGGATTTTAAATGCCACCTGTATGAGGACAACTCCCAGGTTTATATTTCCATCCCGTATCTTTCCTCTGACTCTATTTTGTGTATCCAGCTGCTCACTTGACATTCCACTTAGATGCGACAAAGCATCTCAGATTTAATATATTTAACAAGAGCTCTATTTTCTGCTCAAATCCCAGTCTTCCTGATCTTGGTAAATGTCACCACTATTCAACCAAAAGTGAAAGCTAAGAGCCATTCCAGTGAATGGCTCCACACCCAATACACCCAAGAATTCAGGTCAGTTAAACCACCAGAATTTCACTTGAATTCATCTCTTCTCCTTTTATTGTGGCCCAGGCCACCATCTGGTTCAGATTCATGTAAAACTTTCCTTCCTGGGTTCCCTCCCTCTGTTTTTGGTCCCATCCAACCCATGCTCCATCCAGCAGCAAGGGTGGCTCTTAAAAATTAAAACGAGGCTGCGGCACTGCCCTGCCTAAAACACCTCTGTGGCTTTCTGTTGCTTTCAGAATAAAGTGCAGACTTCCCCTCCTGAGTCTGGTCCTGCTCACTGTTGTAGCCTTCACTTGGCTTCTTTGCCTGTTCTTCTGAGCCAGCCAGCCTGCAGCCCAAGCTTATTCTTGGCTGAGAACATTTATGTTTTCATTTATGTTTCCTACTGGGGAGTGTTCTTCACTCAGTTTTTGTTACGTCTCATTCCTTGTCGTCTTTTACGTCTCAGTTTTAAACGTCAGCTGACTACTATTTTAGATGTAAAATAGTTCCGTCACATAATGCCTATGTACTTTAGCCCATTTATCACAAGGTGTTCTTTAGCTTGTTTACTTGTTTATAGTCTGTTTCCACTTGAATGTAAATTCTTCAAGGGTAGGGACCATGTTTATGTTCTCTTCCTTCTGCTCAACAGATTGGCCAGCACTTAGTAGGTGCGGAATAAATGTTCGTTAAAGGAACTCGATCTGACGATAGACCTCTCCTTGGACGTGCTGTCTGCTGAGAAACTGCAGAGAGCTGTGCTGGGCGGGGCTGCTGTGGCTTCAGGTTTCCATGTCGAGCAGGGTACTTGGGGACACCTGGTAATTTTGCTTCCTGGCCGGGTCAGCTCCCCTCCGGCTTCGTCTCTCTGCTCCTCCAAACCTCTGCCCCCTAAGCCCTGAGCTCCTCGCCTCTAGATTTGCCATTCTTCTTTCGTTTTCCACACATCTTCCAAAATGTTCTTTTTTTTTAAAAAACAGATCGTGTCTGTTGTTGCTGTTCTCTTATCCATTTATTTATTCGTTGTTGAGTGTCTGTTGCGCGTCAAGGACTGTGTTAAGCCTTGAGAAGACAGTGGCAAGCAAGCACTGAGTTCCTGCTTCACTCCTGTGGGAAGACGGGTCCCAAGGAGGTGACCACACCGAGCTCTAATAATTACCATGCGTTCAGCGTTTGCTCCTACGAGCCCTGTTTGGCATGCTTTATACGTTTAAACTCACATGTTCCTCACAGAAGCCCTGCTAGTTCAGGTGCTACAGAGAGATTAAATGACGTGCTCAGAGTCCTAGCTAGTAGGTGGCAGAGCAGAGCTCACCCTCCTCCCCACCGTGTGTCTTCGTGTAAAAACTGCTGTGAGGAAGAGTTTGGGAGACCAAACTCGGGGATGGAAGGAGTTGCCTGACGTAGCCGGAGAAGGCTGCAGGGGCAGACGGCGCCGTTCCGGGGTTCTGAGGCGGAGGACCGGGTGCCGGCCGTGCGACCGCTGTGCGGCGAGCGGGCCCGGCAGGCAGCCGGAGAGGGAAGCCGGTCTGCGTGGCAGCCCCACAGAGGAGTGGCCGAAAGCCGTCAGGGGTCTGAGGACACTCATGGAGTTCAGCCAGCGTCTCGCTGCCAGCACTGGCTGGTGTGTGGAGAGTAGCCTGGAGGGAAGTGACGCGCTGGGGGACCCCGTCAGTGCCGAGGTCAGTGGAGTGACAGTGGCACGTGCGGGGGGGCAGCTGGTCAGAGGGGACCGGCCAAGGCCCCTGGGTTTCTTGGTTGCGGTTTGGGGAGGGGACATCTGGGAGTGTGCACTTGGGAGTCATTAGAAGGAGAGTGGACTGTGTGACCAGCCTAGGCCGAGAGTGCCATCGAAGAGCAGGGCCACCTCATCAGCTCAGCGTCGGGACGGCCAGCTCTCCTCTCCTCTCAGGCTGAGTCCAGGTGCTCTGCACGCTCTGACTCTCCTCCTGACCCCTCCCTCCCCCACTGACCTGACCACCTGACCCCCCCACCCTTCAGGAAGTAGTGGAAGTGGCCCCTGGTGGCTTCTTCGCAGCCTCCCTCCTTTGTGCCACCCAAGGAGGAATGCCTGGCGCCTTGCCTCCCTGCCCGGGCAGCCTTTGCCTTGGACAGGTTTGCCTGCTGCGCACTTCCTGTGTCCGCAGACCGCCTCTGTGCGTGGGCTGCCCTCCCCGAGAAGCCGTCGCCTTCACCTGGGAAGGCGGCAGAACTGTGCGTCGTCTTTTAGCTCAGCTCTGACGTCACCGTTTTGTTCGTCACGTCTGCTGGGCTCATCAGGTGCTAAGCTCAGGGCTGGAGTTACCAGCCGCTCACAGTCCGCTCACGGTCTGCTGAGTGAGGGGCCTCCAGGAGTGTGACGAGACCGCCCTCCCAGGTGGCAGGACACCCCGAGTCGTGTCCAAGGGAGATGGCCCGACTAGGGTGGGCAGGTGGGAGGAAAGGCAAGAACTTGGAAGATGTGAGGGCCATTGGTGAGAGGGTGCTGGCGAAGGGCAGGCCGTGGGGAAGACCCTGAGTAGCTGGAGGTACAACGCGTGGGGCGTTTGGATGTCCTGACCGACAGACCCAGTGGACGGCCACATGCGTGGCCTTGCACCTGTGCAGAGAGCTGGTCCGGGTGGGTGCGGAAGGGCCGGCACCTGGTCAGGGGCCCTGACATTTGAGAGGCGACAGGAGCTGGGCTTTGGGGGAGCCTTACTGAGGAAGCAGGAGGACTCACTCGGAAGTGCTCACTGAGTTTTCTGCGCAAAGGACCAAGACCCCAGTGTTTGTGTCTGTCTTCCATACGCCTGGGGTCCCCCCGTTCTCCTGGGGCGAGGGACCCTTCTGCAGGAATCTGTCTGGGTCGGGCCTGACGTGGGGGGGCACGGTGGGGAGTATCCCCAGGACGGGGTGTGCGGCTCTGGCTGTGGATGGCGAACTCTAGGGGTCTCCCTCTTCCAAATATCGCGTCTCAGAGGTTACAGAAAGGAGGAGGTCACAGAGACCGTCCAAAAACAATGGACAGCAGGCGAGTGCCAAGCAGAGCCAGAGCTGTTGGTCTGAGGGCCACCCAGGGTGACCGGGCACCCCGGGCCTGAGGTGCTAGGAGGAGGGGGCGGGCTGCCCAGGAGACGCGCACCGGCCCCCTCACCCGCTCTGTCTTGCAGCTGGACCAGATCTGCATCTCTTTCGACGAAGGGAAGACCACCATGAACTTCGTCGAGGCGGCGCTGTTGATCCAGGGCTCGGCCTGTGTCTACAGTAAGAAGGTGGGCCCCCGCCCTGCCTCCCAGGCGCTCTTCTTGGTGTTTGAGTGCCAAGCGGGACTCGGTCCGCTGTCCTGCTGGGGCGGGTGGCCAGCTCACCCCATCTCTGACCTGCCTTGCGAGCATCTTCTATCCCCTTCCTGGATTCCTCACTGCCCTTTACCACTGAAGAACAAACTTGGGTTTAAAGCTGCCGGGCCTGCTTATAACATCCGACCGTGTGCAGGAGAGCCGCAGGGTGCAGAGAGGGATCCGGCCCCCAGAGTCGGTGGTCCCCAGGAGACCATGCTGTAGAGAAAGAGGAACGGCAGAAGGAAGAACGTGCCCGGGGAGGCAGTGTTTAGGGAGTGCCCGCAGGAAGGGCAGACAGACAGGTGCGTCGAAAAAATGTCCCGTCGGGAAAGTCAGAGCAGTAGAGAACGTCCAGCGGGAGGAAAAGGCCAGAAGTGTGGAGCCCAGCGAGGTGGACCCACTGGCAAAGGTGTTCGGGTATCTGCTGGGCCTGCGGTTAGAAGGTCTCCTGGGATTTTGGTGACAGGAGGGCCAGGCTGGTGCCGGTAGGGCATACTGAGACACGGGGAGGGACCCATCGTCAGTGGACTCTTCCTAAGAGGTGTCATTGAAAAGGAAGGGAGAGAGCCTGGGTGTCACTAAAGCATTCCCAGCCCAACCTATAACCCAAACCATCGTCAGTGCCCAGCTGCATCCAGACTGATCAAATCGGAACCCCTGAGGCAGGCAGGCTGGGGTGCAGATCCGCAGTGACAGCAAGGACTGAAAGCGGGGGTGGCAGGTAGAAGGGCAGCTGGGAATGTGGGCCGGGCAGGAAAAGGAGCAGGGAGAGGAAGACTGTGAGATGTCCCGGAGGAAACAGTGAGGAGTGGGTCAGGGACACGGCCAGGGGCTGCCTTGAGGGAAGGAGAAGACAAAGAAGACGCCTCCTGTCTGGCCGGAGGGAGGGAAGCGAGGGTGCGGGCCCCGAACACGTGGAGCGATGCCTACGGCCGCAGTTCCAGGTGGGGGATCGAAGGTAGCCGCTGCGTCGGAAGCTTGGGGAGGGGTTCCCCGCAGTTTGGAGCGTTTGCCGAAGGGAGTGCAAGGTGGATGAGTGCCGGAGCGCCGCGGCAGCCCCGTGGGGTTAAATGCACCTCGCGTGTCCTCGCACCTGGGCATATCCTGCCTTTGTCCTAAGGAGGAATGTCTTGCTGTAACTTGGGACGCACAGCAGTAGGTGACTGACAGCCGAGTGGCGGGCAGAGTCAGTGGGCAGATGGGGCCGAGGCAAGTGTAGGGGCACAGCCAGGAAGCGGGAGTGGGCAGGGCGAGCCGGCCTGGACCAGCCTGTGTGGGGCTTTCTGAGGTGGGGGGGTCTGCGGTCCGTGCTGGCGGGGAGGGTAACAACCAGCTACATGTGGCTCCTGAGCCCTGGAAAGGTGACTAGTGTGACTAAGGGATTTTGAGTTTTGAGTTTCATTAATTTTAATTAAATTGCTGTGGCTACCTGTGGCTGTGCTGCATAGGATGGCCCCAGGTCCCCAGGTCCCGGCGCAGGTCCTGGCCCCACCGCTGACCCAGGTGGCTGTGTGTCTGAGTCTGGATTTAGTCTTGTATAAGATGAGGATAGCTATGGCACCTGATTCAAACTCTGCATGACAGGAAGCACCAAGTTCGGCCCTGTGTGTGTGGCTAGCGCTCGAATAGTTAATGCTTCTTGTTCCTTGTAATTAGGATCCATGTGGTCAGGGGCCATTGGACCCGGTGTCCAGTGCAGAGCGCTGTGCATGACAGACACACAGCAGACATTTGTTGCATGAATGAAAGGCGGGGCCAAGGAGAGAGATCTGTGTGCCCTTGGGTGCTGTCCCTGTTGTCCCAGAGGAAATACACGTGCTACTGCCAGCTGCCTCTGGTCAGCATCTCGAGGATGGACCCTCACCCAGTGGGGCCAGATTGTGGCCAGAGACGCAGGGCCCAGAGGCGGGGTGGCAGCGGGCTGAGCCTGCTGAAGGGACAGGAGCCCGCGAGTGCACTGGTGTGGTGCAGGGCGCCAGGGGACGCCGGCCTGGGGAGGTCCCCACCTGCTGCGGTGAAGTGCGGGCAGAGTGGGGGGCCCAGCTGGGGGAGGAATTCCCAGGCGTGCTGCTCTCCTGGAGCTCACACTGCAGGCCTGTGCTGTGCTTTTGGAGATGACAGCCGGGCTCCTGCGTGTGCACGACGTCCAGCTGGGGGGGCCCGGGGAGGGTATGGAGCATCTTGCGTCTCCTTCCTGTGTCCTTACCTCCTGCTTCTGGTCGCCAGGTGGAGTACCTCTACTCGCTGGTCTACCAGGCCCTCGACTTCATCTCTGGCAAGAGGTGAGTCCTGGAGTGCGAGCCCAGGGGGGAGGCCTGCATGTCCGCACGTGGAAGGTGGAAGCCCACGCATCCTCCTGGAGCCCACGCACCAATTCTTTCGCAGGCGGGCCAAGCAGCTCTCCTCGGCCCAAGAAGATGGGGCCAGTGGGGACATCAGCTCCGGGGCCCCCCGGGAGGCGGACAGTGAGGTGAGGTTTCTCGGGCTGAGGCTGCTGCGTGCTTGCTGGGCACCGCTCCTGAGCTCTCACTGTCCCCGCAGTTCCTGTCGCTGGATGACCTGCCTGATTCCCGTGCTAACGTTGATCTGAGGACCGACCAGGCCCCCAGTGTGAGTACTGCCCCC